AAAAAAAAAAAAAAAATCTTTTCCAATGAGATAGTTAAGATTCAGGACAAAACTCAATATCTTTACAGTCAAAAAGCTATCAAGGACTACATGGCAAATGTCAGAAAAAAGGAAAAAAAAACACCAATAATTAAGTGCCTCTGAGAAGCCGATCACCTACCTACTGTTTCTCTCTCAAGAAGAGGTACGTGTTTAGTGATATGATTAATAATCTAACTTTCAGACCTGCTTGTCTGAAAGGGAGTACAAAAACACAAAGGGGCAGCTCTGGGTCTCAATAAGGACATTTTCAAGTCTGAAAAAATGTTTCTCTCTATTACCTCAGAAACTCAACTTCTGTGAATTTACAATGTGGAAGAAATAAAAAAGGGGGAAATGTTACATAAGGTTAGTCACATTGTGTTATAACAAAAATATCAAACTCCAATGTTGAGAAAGTGTTAACTATTTGAAAGCATATCCACAATCTCATGTTGAAGATTAGATTTACAAAGAGATTTGTGTGTGGAATGATCCTTATGATTTTGTCACTGGGCACAAATAATAGATAATATAGTTTGAACTGTATAAAACTGAGTATGTGTGTGAACATGCCACAAGGTTACTAACAATAACGTTAAAGCTATTTTCATTTCTTCTACACTTTATAAGCTTTTAAAAAAACTACACCTGCTACATTTTATTCAGGAAAAAAAAATCTTAAAAGTCAGAGTCTTCATAACCAGATCATTCTGTCATGCTAATTGCTACTTAATGATCAGCCCTATCTTTTAAAAACAAATTTTTAAGAAAATTAATAGCACTGATTTTAAAGTCACTCTGAAAAATTCTCTAGACTTTGTAGACAATGATAAATAGCTACCTTATTTTACAAAGACAAAGTAAAATGTAGTAAAGAATAAAGAACTCCCTAGGTCCACTATTAGCTGTGTGAACTTAGTGCTATTCAACTTTACTTCTCTTTAAGACTCAATTTCTCTAAAATGTGCACATTAGCACTACCTATCCCATGAGAGTATCCATGGACAAGTTGTGTAGTATATTGTTTGCCACAACTCAGTACTTGGGAAATGTTAGCTATAACCTCATTCAGCCACAAAACAAAACTACAGGATCCAAACCCCAATACAAAGCTTCATTCACAGTGATGAGGATATAGAAAGCAAAGCCCAAGAGCTGTGTAGGAATTCAGTAGGAATTCAGAAGACAGACCCCCAGATCCAAGACACAGACTCCCTCACATCCACCTGCGTGTCAATGGGATGCTCAAGTATGCCAGGAGACACTCAGAGAAAACAGAAGACAGGAACAGTTTAAAGAACAGGAACAAAAGGAGACCTGACCCATCTAATGCAGCCAGATCTGAGAAGAGAATTTTAAGGAGATGAAAGTATCCACAGGCTACCAAAAGTTTTAGAAAATTCATTATGCCCAAGGACAGTCATTAGAGGAAGGAAGAGGAATGTGAAGTCCCAGGCCAGTTTCCTCATGGGAAGCCAGTTCAGAGTCCCTGAGAACCACCCCTTTACTTACATTTCAGTGCAGCAGCCCCGCAGGCCACTCATTACAGCCCAACGGAAAGTCCAATAATCAATGCTAAAATGCCCAGCAACACAACTACTATCACAATGATAATTATCAATTTCTGGAGAAGGGAATAAGACAAACAAAAACAAATCATTATTACAGGGGAAAAAAGCAATTCATCTAAAACCCAACCCCTCTCATCTCTGAAAGAAAGCATCTATCTTATCAATCCAAATAATCAGCTTACATCTCAGTAACACAGCCTTTGGGACAGGAGTCCCCTGTGTTTCTCCTTTGCTAGCAAAGCAATAAATCTTCTTTTTCCTTTTAAAAAAGAAGAAAGAAAGAAAGAAAGAAGCAGCAGCAGCTTACAACTCTATATAAGGATATCAGTTAGGATATTTCATAGTTCTTAAATTACTTCTAGACTAACAATGCCAGCAGATGGAAATATGGAGCTTGTATTAGCTCTCAGTTCACACTACACTCTTGTAAATGTGGACAAAGGTAGTAAGAGACACCACTATGGGGTCTCCAAGTAGCAATTATCCAAGACATAAAGTGACTAAGCATTCCTTTTCAAGAAGGAGTATAAAAACATTTTTATAGAGTCCTAAATTTTCTTTTTTAATACTAGGGATTGAACTAGGGGCATTCAACCACTAAGTCACATCCCCAGCCATATTTTGTATTTTATCGAGAGTCAGGGTCTCACTGAGCTGCTCAGTGCCTCGCCACTGCTGAGGCTGGCTTTGAACTCGAGATCCTCCTGCCTCAGCCTCCAGAGCCACTGGGATTACAGGCATGTGCCACCACACCTGGCTTAATCCTAATTTCTAACTTCTTTTCATCTGTCCCCTAAAGTCCACCTCTACCTATCAGACCCAGTATACTGAATGGATTCACCTCATAAAATAACTTCCAGCTCCCTAAGTACCAGCATAAGCAATAGATGCAGTTGGAAGAAAAGGCATTGAAGAACAAAAATATCAGAGCCCATGAGAAATAAAATTAGTAAATGGAAGAAGCTCCCAAAACTGGATACCCACACTCAATGAGTAGAGCATCTTAGAAGTCCTTGAGCAGCCAAGAACCAGAAGAGTAGGCAAACACCAAGGTTTAGAGGAAAAAGCATGATTGGGATCTGAATCTGAGTCCCAGCTCCTGTATTTACTAGATGACCTGAAGCCAGTTACTTAACTTCTGGCCCTCAATTGTTTCATCTAAAAGTAGAAAAAACAGACGCCTCCATAGCTATGAGATATGTACGTAGCAATTAGCACAGTGCAAGGTATGAGACAGAGAAAAAGAAAAGTGGGCCAGGCTTGGGCTACTGGAGTGGAAGACAATGAAAAGAAAGAGTCGGAAGAACAGAAGAGGCAAGTGTAGTGTCTGAAAGGTTCATGACCTACATCCAGGACAGGACTAGCAGCAAGACCTGGACCATGCATCTGTCCTGCAGAGCTGCCTGCTGAGCATGTTCTTGGGTAGAGAGCACTTGAGCCAGATCCATGCAAGGCACACTAGGAAGGAAGGGTGAGCAGCTAGTCTCTAGGAATGGCTGAGGGAAGGAGGGTACGATGAGGCAAGGACAGAGCTCAAAGGCACGGGCTCAGAGACACAGGTGGGGGTGACCAGAGAGGAGAGGCAAGTACCACCAGCAGAGGATAAGGCGCTCACCCTCCGAGCTTCACTTTGATACTTGACAGCCTTTTTGGTATCTGCCACGGCCCGCTCCACAAAGCCCACTGATTGGTCCATGTTGTTCTCAATCCGGTCAATCATGGTTCCCTTTCCCCAGGTGCAAGAGGAGGCAGCAGCAGAAACAGAGACAGGAGGAGGGAAGAGAGAAAGAGCAAGAGACAGCGAACAAAATGGACCCTTCTCTGAAGGTAGCAGGAGAATCTCACCTTTCGGGCCTGACCCTGATATTTCACAGCTCTTTTAGTTTCGTCTCGTGCCTTCTCCACATGGTCCACTGTGTGCATGACAGTCAACTCTATGTTATCTAACATCTCGCCCTGCAGAGAATAGACACTAGTCACACCCAATTAATCTATCCAGAACAGCCCTAGCCACTCAGAACCTTTAGGGAAGAGGAGCGTCGAGAAAACTTGCAACTCCACCTTCTGTATGTCACAACTTCACATTCCCCACGTGACTACCTGTACTTCGCAGCCTTGATGGGGGTCACTCATTCAAGGGACGTTCATTGAACTACTTCTGTATAACCAGCACTGTGCTGGACATGTGCAGCAGACTGTTTAGATGCCTGTTAACTACATATGAATATACTCTGGAGGGATCCCTCACACTTCCCCCCCCCCTCTCTCTAAATTAAGTATATGGGGAGGAGCTATATATCTCATGTTTTCAGAGTATCACCAGGGTACTGGCCTCTTCCTGGTCATTCAAACCTGAAAATTCATTCAGCACACACTGACCTTGCTCAATATTGTAGAGTAGTGCCTGGCACACAGTAGGTATGCAATAAGTATAAGGTTGGAAACATTTGCTTTCTCCAAGAGAAATCCCCAGGTCCCTAAGGTCAGACATCGGGTTTACCCAAGCTGTTTGGGTATATCTTCTTTCCTAGATGGTTGTTTCATAATAAGATTCTCAAATGTTGCCCAACTATTACTTCCTGACATGGATGTTTGGCCATTCTGGTTAATTCCTGTGTGTCTGAGAATGGAAATTACTCTCATTTCCCCAGGACTTCCTCAGTGTAACCCCATCACGTTTGGCCCACTGTGAACAGAGCAAGGCACTTACCATCACTTGACTCTCAAACCCGTTCCTCGGCAAGGCAGTGTGGGGTGAAAAAAGAAAGTGGGGAGGAAGGGACTTGAGAAATAGTCTCAAAACCAGAAGGAGGGGGGGGCAGAATCAGGCCCAGAGCAGAGAACTGATGTCAGAAATAGCTAGACACACTCAGGCTTCACCTAGGTTTTGCATTGTCTTCCTAGGAAGCAGTCTCCAATCCTATCCAGGTGGCAGAGCATCTAGAAATTCCTGGTAAACGTGTCACAGCACTATGACCCTGTGGCATATATATCTGTGTCCTAAGAGTTCGGGACCATCTGGTGCTGTGACGCTAACCCCACATGCAGGTAATACAGAATTCAATCCTCAGCACCCTACCAAACTCAGCACCCTGAGTTTTCCAAGATTTTCTGTTCTTATTCTTTTACTATTTTTTCCCTTATGTTTGTTCTTGTTCCTTAACAAAAAATTGCCAAATTTTCAGAAAAACACAGGTGAAAAAAAAAGAATAAAAATCCTCTTTAAGTTTCACTAAATTGTCACTGTTAACTGGATAAAAGAACACATTTTCAACGTCATTAGTCTCACATGAGGAGACTGTTTAAGCCATCACCAAGAAGCCCTATCTCTAATTTGAAAAAAAGAAGAAAGAGGGGCTGGGGTTGTGGCTCAGCGGTAGAGTACTCGCTTCGCACGTGTGAGACTATGGGTTCAATCCTCAGCACCACATAAAAATAAATAAGTGAAATACAGGTATTGTGTCCAACTACAACTGAAAAAAAAAATTTTTTAAAAATCCTGAGGCTGGGTGAACTAGGCATTTGATATAGCATATCAGACTCTGTGTCAGCTAGCAATGACTGTGAAGTCAAGTAATGGGCAAGAAAGACAAGGCTGAGGCCGCCCAAGGTGCCAGCATTTGATGAGAATGCGCACCTCCTTGAGCTATGGAATTCTGCCCCTGGTTCACCCTTCCTCACCTGACTTCCACTACGCCTTTCCTCCGCTGTTCTCAGGGGAACCTGAGCTTTCCTCTCCTCCGTCCCTGCCAGTTACCTGGTTCTCCACCAGCATGGCGATGTCCATAAACATGTCATGAAGTTCTTTAATGCTGCTCTCCAGCCTTACAATGTCCTTATGCCGACCCTCGATCTCACTGAGGGCTTGCTTGGAAATCTGCGAGTCGATGATCTGCAACAGGCCACACAGACAGGCCATCAGCCTCCCCTGCAATCAAGGCTGCCCCTGCAGCTGCCCTCATACACACCCAGGTGGGCTCCTCACATCCCCTATGTCCCTGCAACTGCAGCGTATCCTGTGTTTGCTAAACCAGGTGAAGCTTTCCAGGCCACATGACTCACCCCAGAAGTGAAGATGGCAGGGTTGCCACTCTCTAGCATCTCCTCCAGCTCCTCATCCGTTGTCTTTTTGCCAGCTTTATAACAAAAGAAGTAGAGCATCAATTTCAAGATCAAAGCACAACTCCATTTTTAAAGTTTCCTGAAAATTAGGAATCTGGTTGCTTCATTCTAAAGACCAGGGTCTCTACAACACTGCCCCCAAAGCCTCGCGATTTTTTCTTCTGATTCCGCCCCTCATCCAATCCATCCATAACAGAAATGGCAGCTCCTTTCCTAAAGTACAGATCATGGTGCTCACATCACTTCCCAGTTCGGGCTGTGTACTAACCTCATGCTCTACACTACAGACTACAAGGCCTTCCTTACAATGTACAGTTCACGGGAAGCCTTCCCTTGACCATCTTAACCTTACACTGCCACTCCAAACACACCCTTTTTCCCAGACCCCCGATGGCCTACGACCTAAACACATGCATGCCTGTTCATACAGTTCATCCCACTTGAAGCACACTCACCCTGCAGGGCCCTGACTTCCATATCACAAGTTCCTAAAGGGCACAGCTTTATGCATGTCCTTATTCCTCACGGCAACCTGCACCACGCTCTTATTTCACAAATGTGCTTTGATACTTGACAGCAAAAATGAGGGGAAGCAGGTGCTTCCCCTCTAGGATGAAAAAGTGCTGGACTCCACAAGGATAAAATGACTTGGACCTGACAACCATGTGCCACCTTTCCCAAGATGCAGGATGTGCCAATGCTGTAACATCTGCTCTGAGATTGGGCACAAAATATCTAGCAGAAGCCACAAGCAGGGGTGCTTGCTGCTTGTTCTCCTACAGTGTCACAACTTGGAATGGACAATCACATAGTAGGAAAAGAGGGAGGAGGGTCACACGCCAAACCTTAAACACATACTAATTTCAAGCTGCCGCTGGATTCGCCCTTTGCTACGTTCACGAAAGTCCACCTGAGCCTCGTTGTACTTGGTCATCACCTCCACAAACTTCCGAGAGAGGACGGAGTGCTGTGGGAACAATGTTAGATGAGTATGTCCCCCGGAAGTGAGGGAGGGAAAAGATGCACAATTGCTACAGAGTTTCTTCCCTTCCCCACCCCACCCTCCACAGCCTCGTCTACAGCAGCACTAGGCGGGACTCAAAAGACCAAGTACGATACTTTTTTACTTCCTAGCTTGGATCACTGGGTAAGTCTACTGCTATTCCAAAGCATGGCTGCAGTATCCGTCTACCCTCCTGACCTCACATGGTAATTAAGAGGTAAAAGGAATCCTGGGAATCCTGGAGCCCTACAACTACCTGGATTAGCAGAAGTTTTCTGGCACACCCGACTTGTTTTCTAAAGCTTTCAGCCTCCCTTCCCACAAGTCATGCTACCGAAGATCCTGGAGTTCTTACTTTAACTTGTCACCCCCAACTTTCTTTACTTATTGGTAGATACATTCTCTAGTATCCCTGGATGCTTCAGCTCAAACCTTCATAATAACTTTTACTCCTTGCCTACCTCTCAGAAATAAGCCTTATTTGTTTGCCTTTGCAAAATCACCATTATCTCTATTTTATCCAAATCCACTACCACCAGGCAAATTCAGTCACTGTAAAACTGACTAGAGATTCACCAGCCTCTTGCTCTTCCTCACTTGTTTCCAGCTGGATACTTGTTCCACCGCCACTTGAATGTCATGCAGCTCCTGAAGGATACAGATGATCCCCAAAGTTCCTGGCTCCAAACTGAACTAATGACTAACAGTCTTTTCAAAAAAGACCTCAAGGAGGCACTAACATTGCTTTGAGGAGTCTTGGGAAGTTCTTAAGGCCCCCCTGAGAGAAGGAGAGTGTGAGAAAAGGGCCCAAAGGGGCTGGACTCTAGCCATGACCCCTGCTTCAACCTGGATAGTTCGACTTTAGCAGTTTTTCATATCGAGTTCCAAATAAGAATTGTAATTTTTGTTTAAAAAGACTCCACAGCTTAAGAAAAAGAAAGAAAATAAGAATTGGAGAAGATGATTGTCAGATCAGGGACAACTTTACCTGAGATTTCCGAATCCGAAGGTCTGCTGATGAGCGGACTTCATCTTCTTCAATATGCCTCTCCATGCCTGGAATGAGAAGGTGGTCATTCCGGCAATGCATCTCCTCTTCCTTCTAAGAAACATACCTCCCCCCCCGCCCCCCACCGTGCTCACACACAACACCCATGAAGGGGGAATGACAGGGAGGAGTAATCCTCAAGGTCAGCTCATGTGAGCCACAGATCTGCTTTCTTTAGCCTTTACCACACAATACCAGGTCTGAGTCTTGGTCACCAAGAGTCTAGCTCAAATCCTTGCCCTGCTGCTGACCAGCTCTGTGACTTTGGGAAAGTCACTTATACTCTCTTATGTTTTATTCTCTTGTTTATAAAATAACACAAATGCCAATACTAGTTGAGTACCCCTAACCTGAAATGCTTAGGAGCAGAAATGTTTTGGATTTCAGATTTTTTGGATTTTGGAATATTTGCCTGCACACAATGAGATACCTAGGGGTTAGGGTACAAAATTCTTTTCTCTCTTATACACCTTATAAACACAGCCTAAAGGGTTTCTCGTCATATTTTTAGTGCATCTGTTTTTGGACTGGGATCCTTCACATAAAGTCAGGTGTAGAATTTCTTACTTGGGTCATATCAGTGCTCAAAATGTTTCAGATTTTAGAGCATTCTGGGTTTTGAATTTTCAAATTAGGGAAGCTCAACTTGTACATTCCTCACAGTACCAACGTGAAGGCTAAATGAGAATGCACATAAAGTGCTTATTAGCACAGCGGTAGCCACACTATCATTATTATTATTGGAAGCTGCTTCCAGCAACCCCCTTTCCACACCCATTACAACAGTTACCGTAATTTATTTGGGGGAAAGAAATGACAAGCTAGGCTCAGTGATTCTGCTTTCTCATCTGAGCAACTGCACATACTCACCAAGTTCTTTGAGCAAGCATACAGACTGCAGCCATGGAACTGTGGAAACCCTTTGTTCCCCAAAATAATTGAATCTATGCTCTGAAATAGGTGGTGGGCAGCAATGGAAGGTGCCCACCAAGAAACATCTGTGGACTGAATAAATCCTGCGTGTATGTATGTCTAAAATTACTACTCCAATGTTGGCTGGTGCTGGGGAAACAGAACCAATAAGAATACACCCATGGACTGAGCAAAAGGACCAGGCCAGTAGCTGAAGCACATTCCAGCTCCCATCTCCTAACTTCAATTCTGGACTCTTTCAACTACAGTCAGGATTCAAGAGAAGGGGACTTTCTAGGGCTGCCATAGGTCACTCCAGGGACAGTGCCCAAACCATAAGTCACTTCATCCAGGTGACTGTCAGTTCAGAGGAGGTACATGCAGGGAGCTGAGTGGATGGTGGCAGGGGTCAGCTTGTTCCCCTGTTCCCTTCTTACTCTTTAGTTTGTTCCGGACATTGTTGGCCCTTTTCTTGATCTCGGCTGTGAGCTGCTCAAGGTCATCCTTGGTTTCTGAGTAAACAGAGGAGGTAGAAGCCATTAGAAAAGGAAGGACTAACTTCTTTTACAACCATCAGCAAAGGGTGTGGGAGCTTAGGCACCCAATGCTCTCAACAGTATTATCCTAGTGTGCTTCCCAGAATCTATCATTAGAATCAGAAAGCTTATTTTTAGAAAGCATTTTCAGGCTGGATGTATAGCTCAATGCTAGATCCTGTGCATGAAGCCCTGGGTTCGATCCCTTGCAACCCCCAAAATTAATATTTGATTAAAATAAAAGGCATTCTCCAGTTACTATTTTCCAGATGTACAGAGAAAATACCCAGGGTTTAAGCCCCAGAATCTGCTTTTTCAACAAACCTCCCCAAGTCAGTTTTGAGAACTTTTCTTTTAGAGGAAACCACCTGGTTTATGATGAGGGCTTAATCTCACAGGAGAGGAGAGAATTCTGTGGGAATTCTAGGTGAAAGAGATATCAGTCAAGGTTCATCAACTTAGAATGAAGCAAGTATTTTTGATATACCTACTCCATGCCCAGGACTATCCTGGATGTTAGCTATAACCATACATTCAAAAACCATCCTTAGCACCCCTCTACAAGCTTGGAATGGGGCTAGAAACTAAGGAATCAGAAAGAAGATGTAGAATCCGCCTCCAAGGTGCTCGAAGTCTAGAGAGAGGTGGAAGCAAAATAAACTAACAGCCCTTTCATACAGTTTGGAGTAGGCTGGAGTTCTGACGAGGTGGTTATAAAGGGCTCCCTGGCACAGCTAGGGATTGATAGGGATCTAGGAAAGTTTCTAAAGATGAGGAAAGTAGGACAGAGTCTCAAAGAAGGACTAAGGGTTAACCGGGTAGTGAAGGTGATTGGCATTGGAGCCCCAAGGAGCAGGCACAATATGCAAGAGGGAATAACAAATATTTAGAGAACAGAATTTAGTCTGACTAAAGTATAAGTAACATGGGAACATGCAGAGTGGGAGAAAAGGTGGAGAGGAGGGCAGGAACCCGACCCACATGACTCGCATATGCTCTGCTAAAATGTTCCAACTTTAATCTTGAGGTAATAGCCATTGAAAAAAAGTAGAGTGAAATGACAGAATTGCGCTTGCCCCTGTTCTTAAGGAACAGGAAATGGAGCCCTAAATTTTACTCTCAAAATGTATTCCCCCTACTATTACGAGGAGCAAAGGTTTACCTCTGTGGTGGTTAAAAAAAAAAAAAAGCTTAGGAACAGGAGTCCTGTGAAACTGAACCCTATGTGACCACTCGTGGGAAAGGTGGACTTGATCTGGTGGGATTGAGAAAGGGGGCTGGGAAAAGCATTTCAGGTGGAGGAAACAGTATAGAAGGCAGAGAGGGGGGACAGAGCATGGAGTATGTAGGCAGCAGTAAGAGTCACTGCCAGCCACAGGAGGGTCCAGCTGGGAAGCAGAGGAGAGACTGGGTAAGTGGTTCCAGAGGGACCATAAAGGGAAGAGCTGACGGCTGGGCAGTGAGAACTCAGATAAGGTAAAGAAATCAAAGAGGTGATACGATGTGGACATTATCCAGGGCGATGTGGACACCTCCCTGCTGTTCACAGAGGCCAGGAAAACAGGAATGCCTCTGCCCCCATGCAAAAGGTCACCACGGGGTGACTCAGCTGAGTAAACACTCACTTGGCTCTGGAATTGGTGCAGACAGAATGATACTGTAGAGCTTCTTTGCTTCCTCCACATGCTCTGAGATCTTGTCAATGTTGAGCCGAGTCTCCTCGATCTACAATCAGAAAGACAACAGCCTTCATCATCAAAGAGAAAGACGACACCCACGGCTGAGGGGAATGCTCAGCAGAGCTTCCTGGTGACACTGCCACCCGGTGGGCTTGGGGAAGGAGATGATGACTTCAAGTCTTAGCTGCCCGGTGAGCACCCTTTCCATAGAGAGATAAGCACCCTTTCCACAGAGAGAGAAACTAGTCTCAACAGAACGGTCATTAAAAATCCATCCTCCTTCTCCCTGAAAGGGAAGTGTTCACCCCTCTTGAATGGCATGGTTCAGGCCAGAGTCAAGAAGATCAGGAAAATCCAGGAGAACATCAGACGGAAGATACCAGCAAACCTCCTCAGGCAGATCCCTCCTTAGCCCAAAAAGTGAGGACAGAAAAGGGTGGGGGTGGGGAGAAGAAAAGGAAGGAGCAAAAGGGCAAGGAAAATACTTTGAGAGAGAAGAAGAGGAAGAAAAAGACAGAAACAGATAAAGATAACAGATGGGGAGAGTGGGAGAGAAAGAGAATGAACAATGGTTGTCTCAGGAGACAGCAGAGGTTGTCCTGGGCACGGGTTCCAGTGAAAGATCTCAACCAGATTCCCACAGCTGATCAGGGCTCAGAAGCTAGAACCATGGACCATTTCTGTGCATGTTAAAGCTCTAGATTGTTCAACGGGGTGTCATGAAATATTTCCAGCAGCACGTCACTCCTGGACAGAACACCACCACCAGGCACCGCCGTGTGCACAGTAAGTGCTACCTTAGCTCCCTCCTCAAGGCACACAGCCCCTCTTCAGTGCAGGCAGATGTATAGAGAACAGCACCCACAGGGTCTATCCACCTCATCCCTCAGCATGCAGCAGTCAACCAACAGAAAGCTTGTAAACTGACAGGCAGGAGGATCTTAACATCTGGATACAACAAGACAACAACTCCATGTACATGCAGCTCCCAGTGTCCCTTTCCTCCAGGAGATGATCTGCCCCTTTTTTAAAAATCTGATCACAGTTTTCCAAATTGGACAGAAAAGAGGAGAAATGTAACTTGAGCTCTAACCCTTAAAGTCATTCATATTTTTGCCACTGAAGCAAGGAGTATTCCCCTCCATGAATATGTTGGCTCTGATGTATCACAGTTTGACAACAGAATCACTTGCTTAAAGATGAATAAAATTTCAATGTAAGATCATCATAGTATAGATGTACATTTAGGTAGCTATCTAAATATTTGTGAAGACCTTTAACAGCTGACTAAATAACTTACAAGTCTGTATTAGTAGCATTATTCAAATGAGGAAACTAATGCTTAAAGAAGTTACAGGTGACACAGCTGGTGGTGGAGACAGCACCCAACAGTTCCCTCCAGGATCCATCTGGGATCTTTGTCCATTTGATCTCAGATCTTTTTTAATTCTCTACACTGTACTAGTAGAATCTCAAGCCTACTCAACTTTAAAAAGGGCCCGTGTTACCATCATGAATACTGGTGGTTTCTAAAGTTGTAATCACATCCAGAAATTTCCACCTGTTCTTCCTTTTTCTGTCACTCAAATGCAGGCTCCTCCTACAGCTCATAAAAATGGCACAAGTTTCCACTTCCATCACATGGATGTCTTGCAAAAGAAACTACACGGTACTCACGGGACTGAAAAAGACGTTTTTCTAGAACAAAATGCACTAACCAATTTAAAATTAGTTTAACAAACTTTTAGCAAATCACAATACCTTAGATTTTGCATGGCCAATGGACCAGTTATCTTACAAAATCTCTTCTGGAAAAATCACTTAATGAACTTAAGAGTGCCCTGGCCCAAACATTGGTCAATGGTTCAAAGCAAAGACAGGACTTGGGAAGTTGCTGGAATGAGTCTATAGGGCCTCAGGTTCAGAGTCACTTCAGGCTTGTGGAGACTGGATGGGAGATGCTCATCCAGCCCTATGGACAGGAGTGTTGGGTCCTGCATCCTCCGTCCTCTCCCTACGAACTGGACGTGCCAGGCCCCAGGAGCATACACTCCCACTGCCACACCACGCCCCGCCCAGTCCTCACCCACTGCAGTGCTCTCTCTATCCTCATCAATTCACCATTTGGAAGCGTTTGATTTCACAGCGCTTTAGTGAGTTCACCAAGTAATCACAAACCTCTCTGGGTCTTCAGGATGTGACTAATCCCAGAGGAATTTTTTGTTGCTGTTGATTTTTTCCCCATGAACTGAGTGTCATTGTTTCTTCTTGGAAGTGCTGGTTTTTCTCAAAGATGACTTTCTGGGTATTTCACAGCAGCAGCTACATGTGATTTCCTTTTGTGCAGTTGCCAGATAACCAGAAAATTATGAGGAGAATGGGGGGAAAGGAGAGACCTAGTAGGAAATTGACAAGTGCCAGATCTAAAAGCCTAAGAGCTCTTTGTTTGGAGTTGAGCATGCTGACATTCCCTGCATGGTCATGTACTTATGAACTAAAATTGACTGAACACCCGCTTATCAAAAACAACTCTGGCCCTTCAAAGTACTTCTGTGAGGTCACCATCACTATCTCCTTTTCATACACAAAAACTGAGGCTCAAAGAGGTAGAGAAACGTACTCCAGGTCGTGCTACAAAAACAGGCAAAACTAAGGTTTAAACCCAGCCATCTATTAGGTACCAAACCCTGTCTCGTGATTCAGGTAAGCCTGCAAGAACCATTATGGAAGGCTCCTCTTCTCTCCCCGGTCCATGTGCATTCCACCTACATCAGGTTAACATACATGTTCAACCTGTGTTTTGTGAGACTGGTTCAGCCACATTTCACAAAGATCATGTGCCTTATTTCTTTGTCCTGAAAACTTCATTACAGAGAACTTTTTACACAATGAGCTTTCAAGAAACACTGCTGATGGAGGGAACCAATCCAAAAGTGGGTTTGTTTGTTTGTTTTAATCACCATGTTTTGGTTTTTGATCACCATGCTACAGCTAATACATTTCCAATGCCTTCTGTCAGTAACATAGGATTTAAGAAAATAAGTCATCATCAAACAGATTAGATTCAAATTTTGGCTCCGTCTTTCAGCATTTTTATGACCTTGACCACGCTTAGGTCAAATTCTTAACACAAAATACACTCCCACTCCCACACCATGCTCAATAAATGTTAGATGATGACTAATATAATATAAAAGTTGCCAGCAATTTCCGTATATTTACTATATGCCAGCCACAAGCATGTCTCGTTTAATCCTTTTGACAATCGTAATGTTAACATAGCAATGATGTCATCGATAGCCACTCAAGGAAATCTAAAGGCAGCAAGTCAAATCACTTGTTGGGTGTTGCCAATTATAATAACCATATTATACTAACCACTATCATCTAGCTAAAAGGAAGTACTTATTTTGAAGGCATGGATGGCCTTTCTCTGGACTTAATTAACCAGCAGGATCCAGGTAGGCAATGAAAAGCAGAGGAAATGCTGCTTTGGAAACTAGCAGGTTGCCTTGGTGGAAGATGAAGCAAAAAGCTTTGTTTCTGGTCCCAGAATTAGTCTCTACTTCCCCTAAATGCCCCTGTATCTTGTAACTTTGATGGTAGGTATTAATTCATGCATTTTTATGTACTGAAAATTTAACTTTGTACCCATTCTAAGGTGACAAAAGTAGCATGGCTATAGTCAAATAAATGATCCCTCCTTTTTACAATTCATACACCTTTACTTTTCCTCAAAAATAATGGCATAAGCCAGGTGCAGTGACGCACACCTGTAATCCCGGAGGCTTGGGAGGCCGAGGCATGAGGATGTCAAGTTCAAAGCCAGCCTCAGCAATGTGAGGCACTAAGCAACTCATTGAGACCCTGTCTCTGAATGAAATACAAAACAGCACTGTGGATGTGGCTCAGTGGTCGAGTGCTCCTGATTTCAATCCCTGGTATCAAAAATAAAAGACATAATCCAAAACAATCCTTATATTTGAGCTTCTCAGTCAAGTCCTCTGGATTTGTTAAGTTTGATTGACTGACTGATTTTTGGTACTGGGGACTGAACCATGGGGTGCTCTTCAACTTAGCTCCATGCCCAGCCCTTTCTTCCATTTTATTTTGAGACAGGGTCTTGCTAAATTGTCCAAGCTGGGCTTGAACTTATGATCCTCATGCCTCAGCCTCCGGACAGCTGGGGTTACAGGGTGCACAACCACGCCCGGCCTTGCTTCTTTGCTTTAGAAAACAAACACTGTTAAGAAGGGACGGAGAAGTCACCTTAGTCAAACAAGCAACAAACAGTCAAGTCCCAAGGGGGTTTTATAAAGACTGGGACTAGTGTTTCAACTTGGTTTTTTTATGAATGAAAAGAAAAGAATGATCTCAGAGTTATATTGACCAGCAAAAACAAGTTTTCTTAGACCATAATCTCAAATTAAGTATATCTGGGGTTTGCGTTACTCAAAATTCAGTCAGGAAAACAAAAACCTATGTAATTATTTGAGCCAAAATAATACAGGGAGTTTTTTACACTGGGAACAAAGGCTAAAAAAGCCCAACAGAGGATGGTGAGGCACTCTGAAAACAAGCAGCAACAGCTGGAGGCACAAAGACGGGGGCCACGAGAGCCTGACCTTGGTGGAGTCCACCAGAACTGGGGCCATGGAGGCAGAGTCTGGGGAGAAGACACAGCCAGCACTTCCCAGTCCAACCTATTAGTATTCCTATAACAAAAATGCCCTAGACCTGACGACTTCTACACAAGCACACATTTCTCATAGTTCTGGAGGCTGGGAAGTCCCAAATCAAAATATGAACAACGGGGTGAGCACAAATATTCATTCCCTAGCACTGCCCTCGGTCGAACATACCAAGAGCAAGTTGGTGAAGGAACCTGCAAAACATAATTCTCTGCAACAGAGAACAGAGCACAGGAAGGGTGGGCGATAGGCCTGAGAGCACACAGGCAAATGACTGGCCAGGGCTTCCTGCCTGACTAGAGAAAGAGACCAGAAACGAAGAGCGTGCCAGCTTGCCTCGTTGGTCCCTATCGTC